CTAATTTATTTATTTATTATACTACTCTCGTTTTATTTTGGTGAAATCTCTCAGACGTGTCTCGAATATCGATCTTGTGTCTTATATCGATACTCTTGTATTGTTTTTTTCCGTTTTTTTTAAAGTCGAAACGTTAACAGCACGTTTTTAAAAGTTTTCGAAACGATTCCTCTGTGCATTGTTTGCATAGACAAGTAATTCGATTCGGTCGAAACAGGGAAGAAAAACCTATGGAAAATGTATTAATAATAAGTAGTAATTGATTATTTTATTTATTTATTAAATTTCCGGCTTAAAATATTTTTTGATCTGACTACATCCTAATTATTATTAATATTATGATCTCATAGAAACTGCTGAAGAAAACGTATTAGTAGGACCGTGGAGGCCCAGTGGTTTCATACTAGTAAAAAATACTTTTATTATATGTACTAAATTTGACAATTTAAATTTTTTTTATGAAAACTGGTGGTTTTATATTTTGTATATTTAGACCAACAACAAATTTATATTTATTTAAATTAAATTTATACAATTTAATGTATTTATTTATTTTTAAAAATATTTGAACTTTTTTTATATATCTAAAATTGTTACAAAACTCTGTCGAGTTTTGCATTGTAGGATTTCGTATATTTTAATGATAAACGTTTAAAAATTTCTAATTATTTAAAAATTTAAATATTTAACAAACATTGGTAATAGATCTGTTATGAAAGATGCAAAATTATTTATACAGTTTTTTAAGAAAAATAATTATTTAAAAAGTCGAACGTTTATGTAAATTGCAAAACCCTTGTAAATTATTATAAAATTATTTAAAAATCTAACAGAATGTTATAAAAAAATAAAAAATACATATTTTGCAATTACAATTACATATTTTGCTAATTTTTATAAGACTTTGTTATTATTATATTTTATAAGATTTTATTAACCCAATATATGATGTAACGATTTCAAATATTATAAAATGCCTATTATTTTAAAAAAAATTTCAAGGTCGCACCGTTTGTATTACTACTTCGTAATTTTACTCAAATATTCTTCAATATGTCTATTATAGCAGCAAATACTAAAATTTTTGACTTTGTAAAAAAAAATCGGATTATAATTTTTTTTTATCAACTGGTGCACTCAAAGCAATCATATTGAAGAAAATTTTGTTACTTTCAAAAAATTCTCTTGGTCGCACCGTTTGTATTACAACTTTGTAATTTGCCTCAAATATTCCTCAATATGTCTATTAAGACAGCAAATACTAAAACTAATAATTTTTTTCACAGAACACGAAATAAGAACAATTTACCCCATAAATGCATTAAAGTATAAATTTTGTAAGTTAATGAGGAACCTTTGTATATCAGCACTTGACTGGAATTTTTCCCAATTTTTTTTATTCAATTTTAGATTATGTAAACATTATCTAATATTCAAAATAAAGATCTAAATATATTCTCTCGTCGTTGAGTAATAAAATGTTACAAAAGAATCTTTTCTTAAGAACTCGACAGAAAGAATATTCTCTTCTCTAAGAAACTAAAATAAAAGCACTCTATTTTAAATGCAGGAAATTACACATAATTATTCTGATGATGATTCTGATAAAATTATAATTTAATTGTGTAATTAATTAATTATTTAAATTAATTCGGCAATTGTCGAATTTAGACAGAGATATTGACATATGAAATTTGACACAAAAATAATTTCCATTTTCAATTCTGATTTATGAGTATACCGAGCTGTTGTAGAGTGTTTTAGTGTTATACAATATTATTCACATTTTAATTTCAAACAACTTTTTTAAATATGCACTTTAGTTTAAACAAATAGTTAAAAAAATACAAGTCATTTTCCAAAAAAATATCCTTAATGTTTTACCATACTCGTCCTAGCAAGACCAAAGCTCTTACTACAAAGCCACGATAAGTTTTCAGATAAAAGTGATTTCGTAACTGAAATGGGTATTTCAGAAGCAATTCAGTTCAGATGATAAATAATTGTAGTGAATTGAATTACATAAAATAATACAAGTATCGTCTAACAACAACAAAAGTAATTGCTCAACAAATTATATTGTTAACAACTTTCACTTGAATTGTTCTTATTTTTTTCGTTGATACAATTAAAATCGTATCATGATATAAATATTAAGACAAATGCTCTATCTGGAAATGTAAATCCTAAAATTGATGATTTTGTAATAATAAAATGCATTATGTAATATGTAAACTCATATTGTCATGTAATTGAATAAAAGTGGTTAATTGTTTATAGAATCATCGATTTTAGTATTTGTTGTTATATAAGACATATTGAAGAATATTTGAGGAAAATTATAATGTTGTAATACAAACGGTGCGACCAGGAGAATTTTTTTAAAGTAACAAGATTTTCTCCAATATGATTGCTTTGAGTGCACCAGTTGATAAAAATAATTTATAATTCGATTTTTTTCTACAAAATCATCAATTTTAGTATTTGCTGGCTTAATAGACATGTCAAGTTGTAACTGTGTGGAATTAGAACATTCTAAAACAAAAATTGCGATCAGGAGATTTTTTTAGATAATATTTTCAATTGTAATGTTCTTTGTGTACCCATTTGTATAAATTTTTATGAACTCTCAGTGCACGAGTTTTTTCAGCAAATTATCGTGTTTGGCATTATTTTTGATAGAATTACAATCTTTCCATCAATTTTCTTAAATTTTTTTACTTTCACCCTCAACAGGGAATTTCCAGGCACATTATTCAAATTTATATGATTTTTTTTTAATTTTAACCCTCTGTGCGCGAGTTTTTCCAGCAAATTATCGTTTGGTATCATTTTTGATAGAATTACAATCTCTTCAGCAATTTTAATAAATTTTTGAAGACTTTTTTTACTTTCACTCTCAACAGGGAATTTCCAGGCACATTATTCAATTTTTTTTTTTAATTTAACCCTCAGTGCGCGAGGTTTTCCTACAAATTATTGTGTTTGGTATCATTTTTGATAGAATTACAATCTCAATAATAATTTCGAAGGTTTTTAAAGACACTTCATGGCTTTACTTTCGAAATGCATTCTAATTCGATATAATTGCATCGATTTAATCGATGTATCGATCGATTATCGAACGTGTAACTAATTACTTTATAATATCGAATGAAAGGCTTTCACCCAATCGATAACTATTGGGTTTTTGTTACCATAATAAAATTTATCGATATTGGTAAAATAATTGTTTGTAACATAATTCACACATATATATCAAAAATTGGTAAAATAATAAAAGAGAGGTTTATTTTTTTGCCAGAAAATTTGATTTGCTAATTTTTGTATTTTTTAGACATTTCTAGTCATTTTGAATCATTTGTAGAAATTTTAAAAATAATTTTATTACACCTTTTCCAACTAAAGTGCTCTTTCATATATCCCAGTTGTTTTCTTATCCTTGATTTTTATTTTAGCCAAATTTATGTAATTTTCTTCCTAAACTAATTCTGCTAAGTAAATTATAATCGAATTCTGCCAGAAGGATCCTTTATCCTTGATATCCTTGATAATTTATTCAATGTTTGGTCCCTTGAGAGTTTCTTCCAATTTCTCATATGCAAATTCTGAATTCTCTTTGAAACAAGAATTCTCGAGGAATTTGGGAGTTTCCAAGTTTTAGAATTCCCTAAGGCCACTTATAAGGGTCTAAATTGACCTTAAGTGATTTCATTAGATTAATAAATAAGGGATAGTGAATATTGTAAATTAATTATAAAGTTTGACTCGTAAATTTGGCATATTTGTGGAAGCAAACTAGCAAATTGAATTACTTGGTAATAAAATTTTCTCTATATAAAAATAATTTTTAATTCGATTTTTTTGTACAAAATCATCAATTTTAGTATTTGCTTGTTTAATAGACATATTAAATAATATTTGAGTCAAATTACAAAGTTGTAATACAAACGGTTCGACCAGGAGATTTTTTTTTGAAAGTGACAAGATTTTTTTCCAATATTTGAGTGCACCAATTGATAAAAATAATTTTTAATCCGATTTTTTTTCTACAAAATCATCAATTTTAGTATTTGCTATAATAATAGACATATTGAAGAATGTTTTAGTCAAATTACAAAGTTGTAATACAAACGGTGCGACCAGGAGAATTTTTTTTTGAAAGTAACAAGATTTTTTTCCAAATTTTGAGTGCATTCTGTACCAGTTGATAAAAATAATTTTTTATCCGATTTTTTTCTACAAAGTCAACAATTTTAGTATTTGCTGTCTTAATAGATTTATTGAAGAATATTTGAGTGAAATTATAAAGTTGTAATACAAACGGTGCGACCAGGACAAATTTTTAAAATTCAATTATACTATTAATTATTTATATTTATTAAAATAACAATTTCTATGTTGCATCACATTTATTATGATAAATTATTTTACATAATAGTAACAACAATTTAGTAATGCTAAATTAAATTTAAACATTAAATTTATCTATTTTTATCTTAAATTTAATAGGTAATTTTGATATTTTTAAAATACATATTATATAGAGTTAAACTTTGTAAAGTAATTTTTATAATAACAAATGAAATGAAAAATCTGAATTTTTTAAGAGTTTAAAATTTTTAACCCTAAGTGCGTGATATTTTTTTAACAAATTTAATTTACAACACATAGGGCTTTTATAATACATCTATAATAATAATTTATAAAATATTGTTATAAAACCCAAAAACAAAAATTACAAATTTTAGTTTTCCAAAAAAAAAACTAGTGCATATTTACCCAACTATTTTTACTACTATCTTTTACTACCCTCAGTCTTCTTATCATTTCCAATACTGACTCCAAAACCTTGTCGTGACTTCTACTTGCAATTCGACCCTTTTCGGGCCCCAGGCCCTTCGCTAATATCGACCAGAGCCGGACTTTTTCGGCCCATTAAAAGCATTTGGATTTTTTGTGGTACCATTTGGAGCCGGAGTATGGTGAATTTTGAACTCTTATCCTTGTAGTATAGGAGAATCGAGGCCAAGACCCCAAAAGACCCTAAAATTATCAAGGCCCAACGCCCTATGTTGACGTACCTTAGGGTGCGGAAAAGCCTGGGGGAAAAGGAAAATTATAAGTACAATTATATGTTCTAAGGCGTTTTGTGGGTTAAGGAGTTGTTGGGTGTTGTTGTGTTGTTAGACAAAGTTGTAGATTATTTAATTTGCTATGAATTTGATGTATGAACCATTTATATAAAACGACAGCTTCAAAAGTTACAACTAGTTTTATAAATAAAAACGCATCGTTTTTTTGTGTTTGTGCCGTATGAAATTTGTGGGTGCAATTTTGGGTTTGGAGGCGTTTTGTGGGTATAAGGAATAAAATGGTACAATTTTACGTTCTAAGGCATTTTGTGGGTTAATGAGTTGTTGCGTGTTGTTGTGTTGTTAGACAAAGTTGTAGATTATTTAATTTGGTATTAATTTGTTATATGAACCATTCATATAAAACGACAGCTTCAAAAGTTACAACTAGTTTTGTAAATAAAAACTCATCGTTTTTTTGTATTTGTGTTGTATGAAATTTATTTTCAAATTTATATATATTTTTTTTTAATTTTAATCCTCAGTGCACGAGTTTTTCTAACAAATAATCATATTTAGCATCATTTTTGATATAATTACAATATCAATAGTAATTTTCAATTTTGATGTTCTTCGTGTACCCATTTGTATAAATTTTTATGATTTTTTTTCAAATTTTAACCTTCAGTGCACGTGTTTTTTCAACAAATTATCGTATTTGGTCTCATTTTTGATAGAATTACAATCTCTTCATCAATTTTCTTGAATTTTTGAAGACTTTTTTTACTTTCACTCTCAACAGGAATTTCCAGGCACATTATACAAATTTATATGATTTTTTTTAAATTTTAACCTCAGTGCACGAGTTTTTTCAGCAAATTATTATGTTTGGTGTCATTTTTGATAGAATTACAATGTATGTATGACACTTATGAATTTGTTATTTGAACCATTCATGTAAAACGAGAGTTTCAAAAGTTACAACTGGTTTTGGAAATAAAAACACACCATTTTTGGTAATTGTGTTGTATGAGATTTGTGTTTTTTTTTGTGGGTGCAATTTTGGGTTTGGAGGCGTTTTGTGGGTATAAGGAGTTGTTGTATGTTGGTATGTTGTTAGACAATGTTGTAGACAATTTAATTCTATATGAATTTGTTGTATGAAACATTTGTATAAAACGAGTGCTTCAAAAGTTACAAATAGTTTTATGAACACTAGACATTGCCTGTAGTGTTGAACTACGATTTCAAAGTTGACGGTTTCTAAAGCAATTTATGAGTATAAGGATTGTTTTAGATGGTTGTGATATTAGAAAAACTTGTAGATAATTAGATTTTATATAAATCTCCCGAATACATCATTCACATATATCAATTAGTTTTGAACTTAAAAATATTTTTATAGAATCAAGCATTCAAATTTTTAGAGAATAGAGAAGAGATCTAGTAACGTAGTAGCTAATTACTATTACAATTACAATTGTACTGATTTCAATACGTTTTGAATCGACTTTTTAACCTTGATGAGAGACAATAAATAATATAACATTACAACAACAATATATAATAAATAATTACATGGATCACATGGATGGATGAGTAATCTGACATAACCTGTTTTCCGAGAATAAAATCCATTATATATTTATTATTTATTACTCTGACATGTTTCATTTCAGAGATGATGATTATGTAATAAATAACATTTAAATGTAATTGGTAATTACTGAGGGTTGCACATTGTCATTTTTCACTTAAATAATCTACAAATTTGGTCTAATATTTGAAGGCACTAGGACAAAATATAAAATATTAGATCTGATAATAAATATTATATTTAATATAATATTTTGTTATGAATTTGACGATTAACAAATCATATTGAGTTACATAATTGAGTTCATTGCCTCCATTCATTGTCTTTCACAATCAAATCGTTCATCAAATACTATAAAGAGGATAATAGGAGAGCTGGTGTAAATTTTACTTCTCTAAAAAAAGAGGTTCACACGCGATTGATGTAAAACTTATTTGCTACTGTACAAGATGGCATTTAAGTAAAAATAAATACGTCATATAACAATTTTGAATAATGTTTATTAGTAATATGGTAACACTAGTGACGCCCATATTTATTAGTGTCGACCATTATACACATTTATATAATGATAAATTATAAATTATATATTTATAGTAACATTAAAAATATGTATAATATTTAAAAATAATAATGTAATTAAAGTCATACTTCAAATATGACATGATCGGTTTGTCGTTGTAATTAGCATTTAGAAATGAACCTTCATTAGAGAAATGAAGTAATTGCTGATTAATAAATTTTATAATATTCGTTCACACAGTGGATTATGTTAAACAACGCCTAAAGAACTTCATGTAATTCAAATTAACATACATTCATTGACTGCTTGTTAACTTTCCGTAGGGTAAGTTATTGTAAAAATCGAAATTGAAAATTTTTACATTTCTTCACGTTTTGAAGGTTTCTGAACATTTTGGCATACCTCAGATAAAACGAATGTGTCTGTGCGTGTATGTATGTATGAATACAATTTTCGTCCACGTTTTAGGGCGCACGGATCAACCGATTTGAATGGTTTAAAAACATTCGATTCCCATTGATAAGGAGATGTGCTGATTTGTTTTTGGCAAAGGCAGGTGCAGCCGTTACGGAGATACGGAGCAAAGAGTGCAGAAAATACAAATCGAGTTTTTGAGCGAACGGAGTATCGGATTTGAATAATCTAAAAAAACATTTATTTTGTAATAATTGGGAAAAGAAGTGATTATTTTTTTGGCAAAGACAGGTCCTGCCATTTTGAAGATACAGAGCTAAATGTGCAAAAAATGGCAGTTTTTGTGTGAACTAAGCATCCGATTATGAATGATCTAAAAAAACTTTCTGCTTGTATTGACAAAACAATTGCTTTTGAGGATAAACAATTCTAACATCTTTTTTTAATTTTCCATAAAATACTTTCGTAATTTTGGATTAAAAATTCAAAAAATCACCCAGGCTAAGCACAGTCTAAGCGCCACTCTGGTACAAATGTTAACCCAAGTGCGTTTAGACTGTTATGTACAGGAGCACTTTTCCAATTTTGTGAAAACTATTGAAAAAAATGTGAAAATGCCGCCAAGCTAAGCACAGTATAAGTGAAAAAGTCGCACAGAATTATTTGCAAATGCGTTTAGACTGTGACTATACGGGAGCACTTTTTCGCATTTTGTGTAAATTAGGCAACTATTTTTTTTTTAAATGAATTCGAAATGAAATGACGATTGTTAATGTTCTGGATATAAATTAGTTTCCTCCAGCTCTCATCTAATTTTTCGACCCAGTATCTCATATTGTCAATTCAATTTCTCATCCAAGGTTACAACGGCAACACATTAGCGGCGGCAACTCCAATAAATAATCTCCTAAGATTAGAATTACGTAACTTCTGAGCAAGAATGACATTAGTAGTAGTAGTTGACCAGGTTGAACTGTTGGAGATTCAACTTAATCATTATCTGGAGGAGAGTTATTGTCTATTGTTTTTTACTTTACTGGTGCTACTTGACACCAGAAGATGGTAATAGAAAATCCATAGATGGTAATAGAATGGAACTAGTGGTGTATGGCATCATGCCTTAGGGCAAATTGCAGGAACTTCCCGTACCGTAATGAAATATTCGAGAAATTTTAAACGTTCTCAAATATATTATTACAAATATTGTAACTTTCATTATTGTTGCTATCTTGTTATATCTGTGTAAATCAAATGTAAATCATAAATCAATTTATCTCCAGAACATTAACAATCGTCATTTCATTTCGAATTCAATTTCAAAAAAATACCTAAGTTGCCTAATTTACACAAAATTGAAAAATCCGCTCCCGTACAGTCACAGTCTAAACGCATTTGCAAATGATTCCGTGCGACATTTTCACTTATACTGTGCTTAGCTTGGCGGCATTTTCACATTTTTCAATAGTTTTTCACAAAATTGGAAAAGTTCTCCAGTACATAAACGGTCTAAACGCACTTGGGTAAACATTTGTACCAGAGTGGCGCTTAGACTGTGCTTAGCCTGGGCAATTTTTTTTAATTTTTCAATCCAAAATTACAAAAATATTTTATGGAAAATAAAAAAAAATGTAATAATTTTTTATCCTCAAAAGCAATTGTTTTGTTGATACAAGCAAAAAGTTTTTTAGATAATTCAAACCCGTTCACCCAAAAACTGCCATTATTTGCACATTCAGCTCTGTATCTTCGAAATGGCGGGACCTGCCTTTGCCAAAAAGTAATCACCTCTTCTCCCAATCATTACAAATTGAATGTTTTTTAAATTATTCAAATCCGATACTCCGTTCTCTCAAAAACTCGATTTGTATTCTCTGCACTCTTTGCTCCGTATCTCCGTAACGGCTGGACGTGCCTTTGCCAAAAACTAATCGGCACATCTCCCTACCAATAAGAATCGAATGTTTTTTAAACCATTCAAATCGGTTTATACGTGCGCCCGAAAACGTGGACGAAAATTGTATTCATACATACATACACACACTGACACATCCGTTTTATCTGAGGTATGCCAAAATATTCAGAAACCTTCAAAACGTCGAGAAATGCAAAAAAAAAATATTTTCTATTTTCGGCCCATTACTATAACTACCCTACGGGAAGTTAAAAATACAAGCAGTCAATGAATGTATGTTAATTTTAATTACATGAAGTTCTTCAAACACAAATATTATATGATGAGTGAAGTTGCGAAAACAATATTTGTTTAGGCGTTGTTTAACATAATCCACTGTGTGAATGAAAATTATAGATCTTATTAATCAGCAATTACTTTATTTCTCTAACGAAGGTTCATTTCTAAATGCTAATTACAATGACAAACCGATCATGCCATATTTGAAGTACGACTTTAATTACACTATTGTTTTTAAATATTATACATATTTTTAATGCTATTATAAATATATAATTTATAATTTTTCATTATATAAATGTGTATAATGGTTAACGTAATAAATGTGTGCATCACGAGTGTTACCATATTACTAATAAACATTATTCAAAATTGTTATATGATGTAAACTTAAGAAGCAAATAAGTTTTACTTCAATCCCGTGTGAACCTTACGCGCACTCATTTTTTTATATTTAGGAAGGTCACCAATAAATTTCAGATATAAATTAGGAAATTTATTTTCTTGCTCTAGATTTCTGGATGATGATATCATTGAAGATCATCATGGTTCAGGGACCAAAAGACAATCGGTAATAAATTCAAAGTAAACCAAATGCCATATCAGATCTTTGCGAAATAACTTGACTGGTTTGTCCATTATATTTTTATTATTATTAATATTGTTTATTGCAAAAGACATTGTTGGTCGACGACATTT